GAGTAGAAGAATGATCATTACCACCAAATTTGCAACTAAATGTTACTAGAAGAGCCTCGATTGAGAATGAAAGGACAATCGCATAGGCCGAGGGTTTTGCCGAGGAATGCCACTGAAAGCGAAGAAACCACACAGAACAGGCGCTGAGTTCTCGATTTCGATTATTAGCGAAGGGCTGGACAGCTTTGAGACAAGCACTTGAAAGCGAGCGTTTCCTCAATCTTTAAATAATTCCTAAAACCACTCCACCGAATGATTATTTAGTTGTGCACGTGTTTGTAGAGAGTGTGTCTGAAATTCAGTCGCAGCAACGGGCAAATACCAAAGAATTCTTGTCTCTTTTTCGATTCTCATTTTATTTGTCGAATCTTCAGAATGCATTTCAAGAAGTGATATCATAATCATCAGTGTAAAGGAATACTTTTTTGAAATGTTTCCATTGCTTCTTGAGATGTTGTTGAAATGTTAGGAGTAGTTACAAACCTGCAGTTAGTAAAACTAACAAATTCAGAACCAAAGTAACAAGTCGGAAGTAAGTTTTTTGGATTCTCATTCAGTGTTTAATGTTTAGAACGAGCACTTTTCCCCTTGGAGAAAGCTTCTCATAGAATAGCTAAGAATCGAAAATCTGGACCCGAGAATAAGGTTCTGGTAAAGTGCAGCGAGGATTTCAAAGGAAAAGCAAGAAAAAGTAAGCTGCTGAATGAAAGTGCATGCGTCAAGTGACAGAAAGATCGAATCAGTGGTGCCCAGGCAAGGGTCGGTCCTATCGTTGCTACTTTTTGGATTTTTTTACGACCCCCCCCCCTTCATGGGCGATTTGGTACGACCCCCTGTGTGTAGCTCAAAGTGGTGATAAGATTACTTAAACAATAATAATCATATAAATACAGAAACTTTTTTAGACAAGAATGCTGAATTTCGGTTCAAATTTCATAAAAGACGAGTTACCGTTCCGAAAAACAGCGTACGCATGGAATTTGGACATAAAGTCATTTGTGACGCGGACCTCATGGCTGAGGGCTAAAGGATTGACAGGTTTTGAATGTGGTGGATCGCGCCCTCGGTGACTGCAATGGGGCGCGTTTGTTGAATGGGAACAGGTGTCGAAAGGGGAAATGAGAAGTAGAGGAATTTTTCCTTGTAAAATTTCAGGTTCCTCGGAAGACGGAGGTGGATTCTGGATCACCGACGGTCATCCTTCTTAAGTAGAGCGGATTTGTTCTTAAACAATCTGAAATGATTAATTTATTGAACAAGAAAGGAATTTGCACTACAATTTTCACCTTCCTCTTTTTAGGGCTATAACTTTCTTCATATTCGAGCTTTTGCGCCGGAGTTATTTGATTTAAAAAATTCAAATCATTCTCTCTCCAATCATGGCTAAAAATTCATCGAAAGCTAATTTAGTAAAAATTTAGCACGTTGGAACTTTTTTCTGTGCAAAAGTTCGCGAATTCTTGCAAATTTAAAATCAATTAATAACTTCCTTCGTGGTTGCCTGCAATGGGAAAGAAAGAACTTATGCCAATAGGTGGGAAATTCTTTCACCACAATGTAGTGATTGAATACACCGTATCCCAAATAAATACCACCTTCTCGGAACGACACAGCACAGCCTAACTGTCAGCCCATTTCACAATGTTCATTGAGTGCAAGATGAGTCGACGAACTCTAGTTACTCAGGAAGTAATACACGCACTCGTATCACTAGAATTCTAATTTGCCAGGGAAAAAGCCGAAGAAAATTAATAGAAGAAAATGCCTTGTTTGATAGCTTGTGTCAGTTTCACAATAGATGTTTCGTTGAGCAGAAAATTACCAAAATTTCCACAAACTAACCATTTTTCCTTTGATGTCGATGCGCATTTTCGCGCAAAGTCCCCGCTTGTGGCCACGCATTTTTTGTGACGCGCTCAACTGTCTTTCCACATTGGTTTACACGATTTGTTCCAAGCAGCAAACAGCGTGTTCTACGCATTATAGCCGTTCTGAAGGGCTAATTTCTAACCACTTGAATCAGAGCGCTGCCGATAGAACAGTTTAGACTTAGTGCGTCCACTATTGGACTGATTCCTAATGCGAGAAAGTGCGAGATGTCCTTGTGAGATGATTTTCTTCGCACTGACATTTTTTTCCGGAAAATAAGTGAAGTAAGAATGCAGTCAAGACCAAGCTCTGGTAGTATACGTAAATGCGCCACCTGCATTAACAAACCTGAGAGTGGTGGAATTGTGAGAGAGGGCCAGCCTTCGCTGTAATCCCAGAGCTTGATTATGGTGCAAGCGATGAAGCAAAGAACGCATGACAACGCCTCATAACCCCCAGAATATCCCCTCTGTTCGCCTGAGTTTTGCTTTATCTCTCTTCGGGGCTGCCATCTAGAACGCCCAAACGCTCTCTCAGGTTACGGCTAGGCGAGAGGGCTGGGCGTGCAGCGGCGAAAGCGGCGCTAATATGGCTTTACTAGGGGCATACACTTCTCTGCAAAACGGCACTGGTCCCGCACTCTCAGGAGGACCGCAATATTCTCCTCCTACTCGCTTTAAAGGAGACCCACAAAAAGAAAAAGGTTTTCCCCGCCCGAAAGAAGGGAGCATACCTCAAGCTGGAGAGATAGGCAGACTCTAAACGCTAAGGTGATACCAGGTCAACGCAAGCCACTTCAATGCAAAACCAACGAGCAAACAAATTATTCCATTCTCGGGTTCCGGGCCGTTTATAATAGTTTCTACTTCATCCCTGCTCCACTGATCACCTATACCGTTATTTCTAAAAAGCTACCTTTTCATCGTATAATAAAATCACCTTAAAAATACCGCCCGATTTGAGATCTCCCAGCCAAGAACATCTGAGCTAATTAGACAAGGTGCCGCACTGTTGGTGTTTTTGGGCATCTCCCGCTTGCTCACGCCCATGAAATGTGATTTCGACAACTACCAAGGCTGATCATTGACGCGCTCTAACAGCACATAGCATTTATGATGAGTACAACTGCAGTGCTTTGGGCAAAATCATAAGGACCCTCCGCCCAAAAACACCATATCGACCTCGGCGTACGAGAAGAGGCTACTATGGCAACAGGGTGAATAACGGTCGAGGAAATCCTCGACCATAGCTCTCTACCATGCGAGAGTAGTGCCGAGAGTGAACATCCGCGCGGAGAGCACAGACGGCACGGCATGGCGAGTGTGAATGTCCGCGCGAGAGATCGTCTCTGATCGGGCAGAGAATCCTCGACGTGCCGTTGAGGAATCCTCAAGCGATATTCACCCTGCCTGATCGCAACTGGTATGAATCGATACCGCCTCCATAAAAAACCTACACGAAGAAGTAGCTTGATCATTCGAATAGTTTTCCATATTTTTGGACAATTTTTTTAGTTTTGTAGTCGTGCCAGATCAATGAATAGCTTTCCGTATTTTTAGACAATTTTTTAGTTTTGTAGTCGTTGCAAAATCATAGGACACCCCTCGGAAGTCTCCTTACAGTTGAATTTTTTTATCCATCCAGCAACGATGGTAGCACTTGTCCGGTGTATGGTAATTCTATTAGAGTTACGGTTTGAGTTGCTCCCTTTCCCTCAGCAAGTGAAAGCCAGGCTTTTTTTACGCTTCGCAGGGCTTTACGCTAGTTTCCCATATCAGTGTTTGCAATAGGATTTCATTTCTATCCTTTCTTTCGTAGAGCTGACACAGGTTGACCGTACATGGTGATTTTGTTTGATGTAATCTTCGAGGTTATAGCTAATCCTTTTAGAGAACTTCTGCTATTTATCCTGGTGCACTCTTATTTCTATTCGTAGTGAGAATTTGGAGCACCAAGCTATGGTTTTCTTTGAGCTCCTAAAAATGGCTTCGATGCTCATGGTAGAGCCATCAGGCGCGTATAAAAAGAAAGTCTGGCTTTCACTCGCGGAGGGAAAGGGAGCAACTCAAACCGTAACTCTAATAGAATTACCATACACCGGACAAGTGCTACCATCGTTGCTGGATGGATAAAAAATTCAACTGTAAGGAGACTTCCGAGGGGTGTCCTATGATTTTGCAACGACTACAAAACTAAAAAAAATTGTCTAAAAATACGGAAAACTATTCGGATGATCTGGCTACTTGTTTGTATAGGTTTTTTATAGAGGCGGTTCTGATTCTACCAGTTGCGATAGACGGCTTTTTCTAGAAGCCGAGATATTCATATTTTTGGGGGGTGTCCTATGATTTTGCACCCCACTGTAATATGTGGCCAGTCATGATTTCAAGATTCATCATCTTCTTCAGATGAAGAAAATAGTCGATTCAAAAGAAGGGAAAGGCAGCAAGGAGGACATTGAACAACGAGTTACTAGTGATTCAAAGAAGAAAAGGGGAAGCAAGGAAGATGTTGATCATCGAAATGTTACCGGATCGAGGAAGAAAAGGGTATTCAAGCATAATTTCAATTTCCCATGCATACAGCAAGTCATTTTACATACAATAACGACCAGAAGTTTGCGAACATTTTTGTTTTTGATCTAGGCAGTCAACAACCAGCGAAATTGCATCAGATCTACATATAATATACAAAGTCCGGCGTTAAATAAGCTAACACAGCGGATTCCCCAAAACCGAAAACCATAATTGCGAAAACACGTTTTTTTTTTCAAAGAATTTTGCGTCAAACGTTGGGAGCCACTACCATTTCGAAGCGAATTCAGCGCAACAGAGCGTCGCTTCACAAGGAATTCAAAATTGAGCCATTGTACAATCCTAAGATAGCGCCGCTTTTATTGAGATTGTTGATAAGAACAACATTTCTGAGCTTTTAAGGAGACGGTGAAAGGCGGAGGATCGGGGAAGAAAGCAAGGAAAGTCGGCTCTGATGAAGTGATAAAAGCTGGTTCGCAAGAAAAAGTACAGAAAGCTGGTTCACAAGAGAACATAGAGGGTTCTCAAGAGAAGGTGAAAAAAGTCAGTTCTGATGAAGAGGTGAAGAATGTTGGTTCACAAGAGAAAGCACGAAAAATGGGATCGGGCAAAAAGCCAATCAGTGCTGATTCTAAGGAGAAGGTGAAGATCAGCTCAGATGAAAAGAAAGACAATGCTGGCTCCAAGGAAGAAGTGAAGAAAATCAGTTCAGATGAGAAGGTAAGCAGTGCTGACTCTAAGGAGAAGGTGAAGATCAGCTCAGATGAGAAGAAAAACGATGCTGGCTCTAAGGAAGAAGTGAAGAAAATCGGTTCAGATGAGAAGGTAAGCAGTGCTGACTCTAAGGAGAAGGTGAAGATCAGCTCAGATGAGAAGAAAAACGATGCTGGCTCCAAGGAAGAAGGGAAGAAAGTCAGCTCAGATGAGAAGATAAACGGTGCTGACTCTAAGGAGAAGGTGAACAAAATTACTTCAGGGGAAAAAGTGAAAAAAGTTGGGTCAGATGAGAAGGTGACTGGCGCCGGATCTCAAGAAAAGTTGAAGAAAGAAGGCTCAAACGAGAAGATGAACAATGTAAATGCGCTGGAAGGCACAAATCCCAAAGGCTTGGTAAGAACTAAAGCAGGAGAAGGATCGGGAAGTGATGAGGAATCGGATACGAAAAAACCTGAGGCAAAAAAACCAAAGAAAGGTCGTTGGGTGAGCGTGTAAATTTTTGATAGCAACATGTCTGGTGTTTCTTTGCCGAAGCAACTTTAATTGTATTATATTTCAGTTCCACTTCTGGTGAGATCAAGGTCACAACATTGATATCTCGCGTAACATTCTTCATCAGAGCAAGAGATCATTCTTCAAAAGAAATGACTCACGCATAATAAACGATAGCCTCTGACGTTTGTTCTACCAACATAATTAGAGGTAATTCTGAGTTGATAGGCTTGTAGTTTCAGTATTCACCACTAGTTGTGGCTTGTTCAACGGGAAACGCGAAATAAGACAAAACAAGAGGCTCCGCTCGAACATTTACAATAGGGGTTTGTGTTTGGCTTGTCTGGAGGTACAGGGTCCACGGAAAAGTTTATGGTCCACGGAAAAACAGCTGCTATACCGTCGTCAATCGGTGGATTGGGAAAGGTGAAGTTTAAAAATATTATCCCCTAAACGTTCCCCAAACGTGGCAAGTGGTTCGCAAACGCAGTGAGCACACTTCTGAAGAAGTGCGAAAACTCCTGAACAACTAGGACACAAACCCTTGGCCTCACCGGCATTAGTATTCAATACGCCACCGATCCACATCCGAGCTGTGCTTGCGTATCGAATTCAAGCCGAACTTGGGTTCGCTCCGTAGTTCAGCAGGTATGGAATACAGATTGAGGTTCGGGTTCAGAGGTCTCTCAGGTGATATGCGTCTTTATTCGAATGGCCACTCCAAGCTATCGTCCTTCCCTTGTAAGTCGTTTATCAGAATATGATAAGGAATGGTGGCTTTCACTGATTAAAACAGGTGATAATAGTCTTTTTAGAATAGTCTTGGCGATGTGATTCACAGCAGCGTGGCTGGTGTATCTCATTAGAGCTGAAGTTGTTGATCCCAAATTTTTCAAGTTTGATTTACCACAAGCGAATAACTGTTTTGAAGGGATCCTTCTGAAAACGGTCATAGATGTTTGAATTTGCATTGGTTGGAGAAGGCTGAATTCGTGAAACTCTAGAAGTATAGAGCACTCATATGGCCATCTGCAGATCTAATAAGACTGGTAGGGGGTCTAGACCGCTCTTCACATTCCTCTTCTCTTTTGCGTTAGTTCAGCCTGAAATACCAGTCGTTCCTGTCGGGCTACTCTCATTTTGTCAAGAAGCCCGTAACGATCAATTAGGAAATCGACAGCACTTTTTTTTCTCAAGGAGGCACCACCATGGGTGAAATGCTTCAAAGATAGAGTTTCGAGCATTCAACTTAACAAAGCTTCGATCCACGAAGAAACGTAGACCAGTGCGCAGCGACATCATGTGATAAAGTATAAAGCTAAAGGATAAAGCATTTGCCGTTGATCAATCCCTTTTTGGGATGCGGCACGCATTCTACTTCCATTTGTACATTCGTAGTGGCGTTTGAATGCGATGTGGCCTATACAATGACTTGCGGGGGCCAGCCGATGTACAAGTCAGTGTTTTTATCCTCCCAGACAAGTCTGGTACCAATTAACCGACCCCGGAGGGATGGAAGGCTTGGTTGGCCTGGATGCGGCCAACGACACCGCTCTACGGTAGCAGCATGTCTCGAGTAGGGGGTGCATAAGGTGTCAGTCCACTTGGATAGTAAATAGAAGTAAAGATATAATATACCAGTTTGGCTGCGCACGCATTCGCGTGCATGAGACGGGGCTGCAGCGGTAAAATCGGGCCCATCAGTATTTTTGTCTTGATTTTAGCTTTCTGCTCGGTACATCTTACTTACGCCGCAAACTCCGCCCACATCCGGGTGTGCCACGCCCAGCGTTCACATTCAACCTCTACTCCTACTTTCACCTCTGGCGTATTTTTTTCAGGTCTCTAAGTCATCTCGGAGCCGAATTATGAGGTCTTGTAAATGGCGTTATGAGTCACGAATTTCTGAGGCAGACCCCGCCCACTTTGGTGCATGGTTAGCCCAACAATGGCATTCAACCCTACTCCATACCTCAATACTTATGCACATTTTCCCCGGTCGCCGGAACTTCTAGGAACCGAGTTATGAGAGCGGTGGCAAACTCCGCCCACATCCGGGTGTGCCACGCCCAGCGTTCACATTCAACCTCTACTCCTACTTTCACCTCTGGCGTATTTTTTTTCAGGTCTCTAAGTCATCTCGGAGCCGAATTATGAGGTCTTGTAGGGGACGAAATCGAGCAACGTATCGTTGTGGTAAACCCCGCCCACTTCGTTACATGCCTCGCTCACCGATACCAAATGACTATCATCTCTTCCCCAACCTCATTCTACTATTTTCCCATCTCCGGAACTTATTGGATCCGAGTTATGAAGTACCGTGGCAAACTCCGCCCACTTTAATGCATGCTCCACCTGCCCACAGCACTTGACCCCCTTCCCTCTGCCAACACTTATACGCTTTTCCCCACACCCCGGGACTCATAGGAACCGAGTTATGAGGCTGGTTGCAAACTCCGCCCACTTTGATGTAAGCCACGCCCATCCCTGACATTTAGCTTCCCCTCCCCTCCTGACCTCTATCCGTTGTTTTCCGGTCTCTAAGTCATCTCGGAGCCGATTTATGAGCTCTTGTAGAAAATGCTGTCCGCTTCACGACACGCTCCGCCCATTGTGGGCGGGCCTCCGTTCACATCATGCGTGGTGGAAATACCTTAGGCATTGCTCCCCTGCACTAATTTCGTTTCTGGTCTGTAGGCTTCCTTTACCGAGTTGATATTTTCCGTCACATTTTTCTAGAGAACGCGACCGAGGTGGGTTTCGTTCAATCTGGCTTACCAACCCACACCTATGCCCACTTTTGTCCCGGTCTCGAGGCTGTTTTGTGACTGAATTTGAAATCATGGTCCTCAGTACCACTCATTTCGACGCACGCCACGCCCACTGTGGGCGGGGCTCCGCTTAGGTAATGTATGTTTTTTACTTCTCGAGATATGGTACACCCATCCCAAACATGACTGGACCCAGTAGGTTGTTGTCGTCATAAGGCTTTCCCGTGAAGAAACGAAGAAACACAGACAGACAGACGACAGACGACAGACAGACAGACAGACAGATTAGCGCATATTATTATAGTAAGGGATCCCAAACATGACCTGGACCCAGTAGGTTGTTGTCCGCTTAATACGGAATTTCGTGACAGACAGACAGACAGACAGACAGACAGACAGACAGACTTAGCGCATTATATATAGTAGGGATATACAGGGGGGGGCCAAAAAAGAGTCACTTTTGTCGTAACAAACAATTAATTTGAAATATAACCATTCAAAATGAGCCAAATGCATGTTAAAGAGCAACGAGTCTATTGAAAGGCTACATGACAGCCTTCTACACTGACGACTTCGGAAGATTTTCCCACGGAAACATGGTTCACGGTACGAGCTCAACGACGTCGTCGAGGTACCATAGACCATTACGACGTCCCTGAAACGCCGGTCAAAAGCGGTCTTGCACAGTCACAGCTAGTGTCTCTGGGAAGCTATTCACCGCTTAACCGATTGAAGAAATTAGGTTGCAGCTTCAGGCCGGAGCGATTACGGTAAGCCCGTTGAGCTTGACGGCGACGGCAGATGACGTCATATTCTGAAGACCGTGAGGGGTGAAGTAGGGGCTGCTTCTGCTTAGGGGGACACCTAAGGAATATTCTGCCGTAAAACATTCATCAAGCTGCGGCATCCTGTGCGAAGAAAAATTTGATGATGTGCGCCATAGGCAAAGTGACTCTTTTTTTTTGGCCCCCCCTGTAGGTCCTGTGAATAAGTCGAAACGCCTTTAGAGGCATTCAAAACACGGTGACGCAGCTGGCTTCAAAGTGACACGGAGGTTGAAAAACCAGTTTAAAGGAACGTCATATCCTTAACTCGGAGCTGGTGATAGAATGGGACTCAAGAAAGAACATGGAGAGGCAGATGCAATCTTGTCCATCTACTACCCGACGAGCGTGGGTTGCGCCGGGATAAAGAGAACAACGAAATATGGGGAATGGCAGACACGCAGTCAGGTTTGCCCTAGTTGGGCCTGCGAGGACTCTTTGCTAGTGCGTCAACGCGGCGTCTGCTACCACATTTCTCGGTCTCTTTCTCTATAAATGGTTATGTTTGATTAGAAAGTTAAAGGACGAATTCACGCTGGAAAGGCAACCCATTTCAAATTAACTTAGGGATGGTGAGTGGTACACGAAAGAAGGAAAACCATGAGAAACGGCCCAGAACCCGAGAAATGGGACCCCTTCCTTGCCCGTTGATTTGATGCGACTATCATCGCTGTGCCCTCTTCAACACTACGCTCTCTCACCTATCTAATCACTCGCCACGTATAGACCTGCGGCGAGTGATCAGATGATCGGTGGGCGTGCACTGGCCCACCGCGCCAAGACCAGGGTCAACCGTCCGTTGGACAAAGTCCAACGCGACGACGAGAGTAATGCCGAGAGTGAACGTACGCACGGAGACACAGACGGCTCGCGGGTGGCGAGAGTGAATGCCGGCGCGGAGAGCGGTGAACATCGGTCCAACGTCGCTCCAATATCGGTCCAACGTAACGGTTGACCCTGGCCAAGACTGAGCCTTAATAGGTCGCCGAAGTCAACTCCTTCGGTTCTAATTTTTTCAGTCCACACCCATTGGTCCGCGGGTCCCCCATCTAGGTGAATTACTCCTTCTTCGATCTTCATTCTAATGTGAATTCGTCCTTTAATTAGTAGCTAAACTTTACGTGTTCGTACGCATTGGAGATGTCTGTACGACTTGGAGCATGAATGTGGTGACAAAGTAATTGAGGCCCGTTTCAAACCGGGATACCAAGTAGAGTAGCACTAGAACATATCCTTTCAAATAATTGTTGGCATTTCTTATTCACAACCGCTGCCTGTGAATTTGGCAATTTCCTTGAAACGTACCCTACAGAAATCAACCCTTGCCTACATGGTAGCAAGTTGACATGAACCTTCAAAACTTCATCTCTTCTCCCTTTTGAAGAACATTGATAGGGATCCAATCAGACCGCGTTGTTTCTCGCTCCTCTTCAGATTTAAAGCTGACCAAAATAGACAGTCCACTACATTCAAATCGGAGCTTCGGT